AGGAAAATGAAGTGAAACTTAATGAAAAGTCCTACACAGTGAAAACCAATCATACACTTCATTTCAAAGTTGTTATGAATTTGGATTATTTAAGTTACACACAAACTCAAATCTGTACACCATGACAAACAGATTGACAGCCCAGTTCTACCCCGGTCTCTAACCTATTAATTTTTTTGTTTGATTTTACAACATTTGTTTTCCAAATTTATACCAATGGACTCCTAAATCTCCTTCATGTTTATTCAGACATAGCAGCACAGCTCATAAAAAATGTTCCCAGCTTACCTTCAGACAAAAGCCATGCACTAGTTTTGCATGTTGCACTCAGACTTGTTACCAGTATCTAGTAGCTTGCTCTAGGTTACTATCAGCAAGTTGCTACTTCAAGTGTCATACCCCTGCTACAGGAGTCAGATTTTTGCACATGTATCCATTGCCTTTGAAATCTTCTGCTCTAACCACTACAGCATGAAATTAGGGTAAAGGTTGGTTTGTTTGGGGTTTTGTTTGGGAGGGTGGTGGAATAACTAATTTTGTTGATGTTTGAACAGTTATCTAATAAAGGAAGTCAGCAATGTGATCAAAGATTATACAGTCAGAATCCAGAATCAAACTAAGTGTAAAAGAACAAACAATTTTAGGCAGTTACACGGCTGTCTGTCAAAGTCACAATCTAGTTTGACGTGTGATGCTTCAGGCACATAATTAAGCTAAACAGCTTTCAAGACAGCTTTCTTCCTTAAAATTGAAAAAGGAGGTAGTTACTAAAACTTTACCTTGTTGTTGAGCAATTATTATTAAAATAAGCCATCAGCTGTCACAAAGTATTTTTCACAGAGCAAATATTTTCAAGTATTTAAACATAATGGCAAAATTGTCCATAGGAAGCCTAAACCAAGCTATTTTATTATTTTAAGATATTTTAAGATCAGGATTCTCTGACTCTAATTTGGAGATTCTGAAATGTATTATTAGACGTTCCTAAAAAAATTGATGCATGGAGAATCCTCCATTGTTCTTGTTTGACAAGACCAGGGTTGAAGGCAGACATTGCCAAGCTAAATTTAATGGCCTATATTATGGAGGTCCACAATTTTTGGTTTACTTGTCCATTTACATGATTATTAAAACGGAACTTTGGCAGTAAAACTCTGAATTCTGATCATAAGCCAAGTCACAGGGATAAAATTCAAGAACTTAATCCATCATAGCAGGGGGAAGAAGAGCATATTTGGTAGGAGGAACACACCTGCTGTGAGAAGATGACTTGTTCTAACCTCAGTGTGAAGGACTGGGCAACTGTCTGGATTTTTGCAGCCAAAAAGCCCCTTCTCAGTACAGCAATGCCTGAAGACATCTGCAGACAGCCACGCGTACACCCAAAGAGAAATTCAACAGGAGTAACTACAGTGGCTGCACTGAATTCTTAATTGAGTTTGCTCAATTTTTTTACTGTCCCGGAATATTTGACAGTTATGAATTATATAAGTAAAGTGACTGGACAAAAGACTGGAAATGCATCTTGCAGGGTCAAAAGTCCAGAAAATCTCCTCAGACTTCACAACCAGAAGCCAGACTCCATGTCACAAGGCTCAAAGGTTCTTGTTCAGAGATTTTTTAAACAGGCAAATGGTAAAAAGGCAGTTTGGGTTATTATTCCTCTTATCTGGTTACTAACCAGTATATTAGGGTGGATTACCCTTTTGGTTCTCTGAAACTGTTAAACTGTCACTGATTTCAACAAACTAAAGATAACCAGAGCAGTGCTATAAAAGAATAATATCAGAAAACAAGATAACAGAATTAACTCCATTGGCATGTAAAGATGTCTATTGACTACCAAGTGCTATTGTTTTGATTATGTTCGTAACACCTATATACACCAAGACTTCATTCAAGCTCAAACTTCTTCCATTCTGGCTGAGCATTTTTATATTGAATATCTCTTCACATAGAAAGAAACAAGTAGTCACAGAATAAACAAATAAAGGTATATGGCACTCGAATTTATGGAAGTAGATAAATTTTCTTTCCTCATGTGAGGCTGTTAGTCATAGCTCTTCACGTACATATAGAACACAATACCTATAAAAGAGGAGCTTAGATGAATAACTAGATATATAAGTATTTTAATGGATAGCCCCATCCAATTGTTGATACACAAAAACAGATCAGACTACAATTACAAAGGTATATACAACACCAGTGTTTACCATTATAGCAGGAGATAGCATCTGAGACACCTGATTGGCTTTCAGCAACTATTTGTTGACCCATTTTTCAGGAAAATCCCTCTTCTATCCATTAAACTGTTCTTAACTCAGAATTACACACAGGCATATTTGTAAGAGGTGCTACTCAGCTATTTAAGCTCATGAAAGCTACTTTTGCAGAGCCAGCAGAGGGAGTACAGACATCATTTTACTTATCAGCTGTGAAAAAGATACCTTGTACGAAAGCACTAAAAGAGCTGTGCCTGCAAATCTAATGCACTTAGTTTAAAGCATGCCAAGAACTTCCTCAGTCTTTCATAGACATGTATGTCAATGGGCAGTAGAGTTGGTATTTCACTTCTGATCCTCAACCAGCTGTCACATCTTAGAAGTCTCATACCTGATACATGGCAGGAGCAATTCTAACAGTACTAGTGAGTACCATAAGGTCTGATGCTTCAAATGCATTTAAAACAATTTTTAAAAACCAACCAAAAAACTCAACAACCAAAACCATAATATAGACACAATTCAAGTTTTTATTCCTATGGATTCCACTGTTTCTCAGTTTCTGAAAAACTAAACCCTTTTGGTTGTCCATTTCTTAGAAAACAACTTCACTTGGAAGACAAGGTGAAAAACTCAGAGTTCAAGACAACCTCAAGCAAAGGAGCCCTGAAGGCACATAGCAGTGTTGGACTAGAAGGTAACAAACAGCGAGTCTTTCTGCTGATATTCACAGAGGCACACACCTCCTGGCAAATCTGGTTTTACACAGCCTCTGAGGCAAGAGCCCTGCTGCTTTTTTTAGCATTTCCATTGATCAGCCTGCTTTGGAGTTGACAATTATGACTGAACAGTGTTGACACAGCGGCGGGTGTGGAAACAAGTTTTGGAAAGAGAAATAGGCTTTGAGCAGACTGATTGATAGCTTGTTGCCATCCTCTCATGGAGGTGAACCCAAAACTACAGGCCAACATGAGACAACATACCTTCCTGCCAAAAACACCACAGACACCCACGTTTTTTAGTCTACAAAATTGACTGTTTTTTTTTTTTTTTCGTAAATAAAGTTTGCATTTCTTAACTTGTTGGTACAAGGCTAAGCTCATACAAAATTCTTTCCAATCTTAAGCATTCATCAAATAATTTTTGGGGTGGCTATTTCTAAGTTTCACTATTTAGAAGTCTGTATATGAGAAAGTCACACAAGTGCAATAAATGAATGCCTTTGTCTTAAAGTTTCCTCTAGAAAAGCAGCAAAACACTCCTCCTCCCAAAGAAAAGATAAATTTCCATCATCTTAAACTTCACATGAACTTTAAAAAGCTTTGACAGCTTTAATCATTAGATTTTGATTACTACCTACTGAAGAAGAATGTGCCTGTAGCTACATAATTTAGCCTTCACTTGTTTCAGGTTTTAAAAATAGAAGAACCACCCTTCAGCAAATCAGATGGCTGTTTCTTCTCCCCATCTACAAGAAAGTGGTATTCACTTCTCAGCTTCATTTTCATATGGCAGATTCACTAAATTAGTAAGTCAGAGTGGGCTGATCTGGTTGCCATCTTACAGAGCTTGCATGATATTTTATAGCTGACTAAAAAGTTTTACCCCTATCATGCAACGAAGCCACCTCACAGTTTTGCTGTTGAAACTCAGAGCTCCTGCAGTGTTCTCTATTTGTGTGCTGTGCCTGGGTGGTTCCCAGGACTCCAGCTAGGCTGCTCAATACGTTGCTCTGCTCAATATGCAGAGCAACCACAGCAAGGAAAGCCATGCTTCTTCCATCACAAACATGCTGATGATCAAGTGTCAGGATGCATACCAACCACTCTGACCATCCCTTACTTCCCCAAGTAAGGGGAAGTTATTGCAGTCTCTTGTGACAACAGTGAAGTTCCTGCAGGTACAAGGAGTCTTATACAGATAGTAAAAATTATTTTTCTTTTCAGGCAGAATGGTTATCTAACCAGACTCACCACACAGATAATCCAATGCCAGTGCCAACTCAAAACACGGCAGAGAACTACACTGAACCTGTTTGAGTGAAGCAAATATGAAACCACACTCACAGGAAATATCCACAAATTCTAATTCATCCGGCAACCAGAGCCTTGCTAAGCTCCCAACTAACTATGTTTGTAACACACTTCACATTTGAGAGGCTGACATTAGGGTTCTAATGAGCAAGTTAAGACACTTGATCTGTTTATATAAAGTAAGTAGGGTGTGGGGGAAAGGGCTGAAAAGCCCCTAGAAACATGACCATCGTTCCCCTTGGTGAAGTTTCTACAGCAAATTCCACAGAATTTTATACTTTAGAATTACTACAGCTGCCTTTAAGGATCTACAGAGACTTGTTATCTCAGTTTTTAACCTGAAACCCTTCCATTTAGGACACAGCTGAACAACTAGTGATTCTAGCATTAATCACACCCCAAGATTTAGTACTTCAATAATTGGTAATAGACAGCATGCAGAACATGCAAGAGCTTTTCTAGAAGACAGTGTTGAAATTGTGCTCTTCCCCACCACCTGTTTTTACCACCTGAAGGGTCTATCTCAAGTTCTGAAGCCTGTGTGCATTTCATGGGTTAAAACTTTACATTCCTTCCATCATATGCAAGATTCACCTGACCAGACGGGAACACCTACCTCTAAGGTAGGCACTTCGGGCGCTTTTTGTAAACAGGCAATGGATAAATTAAAACATATATACCAAAATATTATATTTAGTCACCTAGGACATGATCTAAAATAGTCACATGCATCTCATCTTAGATGCGCTTGCGTCGCTTCACAACAGAAGCGGCGCAGAGTGACTACTTTCAGTTTTTTAAGACGCTTATGTAAGTGGCCAGGATTGCTCTGCCAAAGTTAAGCACAGTCGGCTGGGCTGAACTCGCATATCAAGCAGCTGCACTACCATGTCAGAGCAAGAGGAAGGATGTGGCTTCACAGTTACTTTAGGAATACCCAAGCCTGTGCTACTGCCAGAAGGTACAGCCCTGCGCCAGCACCGCCGCTCACCTGACCTCAAGGTCAGGGGACAGCCCTCGATGGGAACCGGTGACAAGCAAGACAGCAGCAACACCTGCGGTTCCTCCTGAAGGTCACACAGTGACAGGGACTGCCCCTTCCAGCCAGCACAGGCCTCACCAGCTCAAGTCAATCATGGAAGCTCTTCTCCACACCCCCAAGATCATCCTGGGAAGAAGATGAGCCTAGATGTACCTTTCCTGCAAGGCCCCACTACAGACCATCACCAGGGTCCCTCTTTAGCCTTCCCTCTTCCAGGTCAAGCAAAGCCACCTCACTCTAATTCTCTCCACACACCACAGGACAGCCCCTCATCGACTGTCAGGAGAGGTGCAAAACAAGGTACCATTTTTGGATATGGCCTCACAAGAACAACTGAAGGCAAAGCCCACTGGTCACACTCTTGCTCGTGCTGCCCAGTGTGGGCCAGTCCTTGCCAGCACAGGAGAGCCCTGCAGCTGGCTCAGGCTCCCTGTCCTGCAGGGTGGCCAAGACCTTTCCTACAGGCATCCTCGTCCCCGTGGTAGGGTACAGGTGCCAGCCAGCCTCAGCTCTCCTGTTCACCCTCACTCCAGGAATGTAGGCCATGCAGTAGCCTTACAACCATGTCACCATTTTCAGCTACTGCCAATTGTGACAGTGAAGGGGAAAGCCCATCAGAAATGTTTTTACTTTGTCAGCTCAGTAACGCTCAGGAGGGGCCTTGGGCAGCTCCCTATCAGGAGCTTGAAACTGACCTGTTTTACAATGGCTGCCTCAAAGTAACATATATTAACTTTGTCCAGTTCAAAGGATTTTGCCTAGGGTTATACATACAACCTTATTCTCCATAACAATTTCTGTAGCCTTAGATTTGACTATCAATAAAAGGTAAATATAAAGCTTTGAGCGTATGCAAATTCAGCGTTGCAGTTTTGGAATGAGAGGTTCATCTGTCAAGAATGGTCAACTATCTTCCCAAAAAATATTAAATGCTCCCCTCAAGCATACATCCCTTGTATTTTTTCATCTGGTAAACCAATTTTCAGTGTTAGAAGGTAGCACAACACAGCTTTAGGGTGTCAGACTTCTCACAACCAAGACAACTTTTTCTAAACCATTTTGCTAATATGGTTTGGGGACCTGCTGTCCAGTGCCCGACAACACCAGGATCAACAAGAAAAAAAGAGAGCCATACACAAATCACTCACTCACAAGCAAGACTTAGTGTGTTATATGCTGGCACCTAATTTTGGATGTGTGTGTTTGTACCAAAGTTCTTTCAAAAGGTTCCCATAACCTGGTATGCACTGCAGAGTGAGTAACTCTGTATGAAGGATAACTCCACTGTAAGTGCCACCATTACAAATAAACAGCACACATACACAAATCCAGAGAAAGAGACCATGCCTTTCTCAAATCCCAGAAAATTTAGTCCTTTATTCCCAAATCTCTTTTAACTCACTTGAGAAATATAACTCTAGTTCAGGAACGAATCCTTAGATCTGCAGTCACCACAACAAGATCTACCTATTAGCAAAACGCATCTGAAAGCAGACTTTGTGAAGATGTCAAGATGTTCCACTATGCAAAGCAAGCTCATTGCAGAAGAAGAAAAATCACTGTCAATGTTAACTACTTGGATTGCAGAGCAGAAGTAGGTGAACACAAACTGTAATGATTTGTGTTATTAATAAAGCAGAAGTAAAGCAGTTGTGCTAGCAGTGGTAAAGCACCTTCCTTACCCTCTCCAGCTGTCAGTCTCAACTATGCATATTTGAAAGCCATCTGGAACAGACCCCTGACAGCCGGTTTAAATCATTTCATGTTTCATACAACCTCAACTGAGTGAGGCTGGTAGACACTGCTCTAATTTAAGTATTGATTTGTACTATGTTCCATAGGCTTCATGAAGTTCTGCACCAGCTTCATTCCCAAATGAAGAAAAATTGGCAGATCCAAACAATACAAAGCAATTTGAAGTGCAATATCAATACTGATAGCAGTAGCAACTGGATGGAAGCGAAAACTCCTGTTCAATATGCATACTGAGATCCTGATCTATCTACTAGATCTAAACAACCAGAAGAGATTAAAAAATACCACTGTTTCTTAAACAGCTTAAGGGCTAACCATACCTGCCACCTTTTCTACCTATTTATCATTACTATCTACTCAGTCGTCTCTATGTAAAAACATCAGAAAGCAGGTCTGGATGCTCAACACAAGCAAAATTTCTTTTACTCCACTGTAGTATCAGAAATCACCTAGGCATATAGTTCTTGTGTTTAAACCCAAATATACATTTATAGAATGCCATTAGTTGAAAACTGGCACTCAAACCTCTCTCCCATCAAAGCAACAAGTTCAAGTTCTCCCATGTGAACAGGTTCATACTCCCCAGGGAATGGTTTCACATGACTACTGCATAAGGAGGAACATTCCCAACCATCAATCCAAAGATTCATGTTGCTTTCCTCACGTGAGCTTTACTTCTCACTTTGGAGAGACCAATTTGTGCACAAAGATTGTGTAACAAACCATCTAGTGGTGCACTGAGTAGACTCAAAGTGGCAGAGATGGCACAAAAGAGGGGGGAATTATTGCAGTTAGGCTAAGATGGAAATGAAAGTAGCCATGAGGTCACCTCAGTCAGCCAGTGAAACTTTGCACTCACAGTGACAAGCCAAATAGGCAATTACAAATTGTGCTCTCTCTGTTTCCAGCCTCTTGGATTATGCTGATAAACCAACAGGTTCAGAAGGCCATCAAAAAAGTCTGACAAAACGTTGGAATATTAAAAAAGCATCAAACATATTAATAGAAGTGACTAACACATCTTTTGATGGCGACTTGAAAGACTCCTATCTCTTGAAACACCTACCACACAAAACCAAATGTTTTCCAAGCTTTTGGAGAGTCACAGTGACCACCTTCAACTTTTTAGAGCATTCTACAACTTTCTTTTAAAAAAGTGTGCTGTAGCTAGAAGACTTCTTTATTGCTAGTGGCCTAAGTTCTTTATTTCAATAAAGACCATAGCACTATGGTTATTTCTTTCTACAGTGGAAAAACTCCACCAAACACAGATAGTGACTCTTCCTTCTATCCCCATATGGAGTCACCAGTTGTTTTATTTAAAATCTAGACAGAAGCCAAAATACACACCACAAGCAACACATCCTTGTATTTGCAGAGACACGGGCAATCCTGGAAGAGCCATGCAGACAAGCCACCAGTCACTGATCAAATAACAAGTGCAGAAAAAGTTATGTGATTTCTACATAAGTGCACATTTGTAACCCTCCACCTAAGAGCACTTGTGTTTCTTTCACTGGTGTATGTAATGCAAAGGTGACTAAGTTCTTCTTTGATCCAAAATCTTGAAATTAATATGAAAGTTTAAGTTTTAATGACGATGTAAGCAGGAAAAGAGCACACCACTATAACCCTTGGGGCATGTCCCAGAAGTTAGATAGTTGCTTAAAGCAGAGCGAGCTGAATCATCTTTCCTGCCTTGAGCTGGGGTTTGTTGCTATCAACTGTGCAGAGCATGGTGCATCCTGGCCCTCCTCTGTACAGGACCAGACACTGTACACCAAGTGGTGAGAAACCAATAGTGTTGTTTTCCCTGCTGCTACCTTATCTTTCTGTGAATATAAGGGCACAAGTAAGGGTAGCAGATTACAAGTGATAGGCTCCCAGAAGTGTGTTTTAAGAACATGGTGTTTCTTGTGCTCACTGAGAATTAAGGCAACGTCCAGCTCATACACAATATTATGAAAAATGAGACATGAAAATCACTGGAGTCCACTTCATAAAATAAATAGGAAAGCCATGCAGAAAATTACCTAACTCTCATCTACAAAGCAGCATCACATCATAGCCAGCAAGAAGCCAGGGCTACCTACCCCTAGTGCTGAGACTCATGCTGTAAGTAGCAGAACCAGCCAGACTTAATGGCCAGCACCAGTTTATCAAATGTCATCCTCAAAACGGATCTATACAGTCTTTAGCTGCACAGTGCAGTTGCAAACACCAGAAAGGAGAAATATATTCTCTTTCTCAGTCCATTCCCCTTCAAAGGCAAGGCAGATGTTATTTGTCTGCTCTGTAACAGCAATTACATATTATCTCTTACTGGACAAAAAAATAAGTTATATTTATTTTCAAAGCTATTTCTGATTTCTTTTTTAAATGCCTCCTACATTTTCCTTAGATTTCTTCTCCCACAAGACCTCTGAAATACCAATGGAGAAAGCCTCATACCTACTTTACAATTCACCAAAATTAATCTAATAACACCTCCTGCTGTCATCTGTCAGTTAGAGTAAGATTTATAAATGGCAGCAGAAATAATTTTCATAATGTTTACTGGAATACCAATACCTTGAACAGACAGCTCCTTCAGAGATACTGCTCATATCAAGTGAAATCTGTCACAAAAACTAGAAATTCACTTTAATTAACTGTATTTGAAAGCCTGATAATTTAAAAATAAAAGACAAACTGGACAATACCATGTGTCTGTGTAGAAATTACATTCTGTCTGAGTAGGTGCAACTGTTCCAAGATGTGTTAGTTTAATATTTTGCCTGTTGATTTCATTGTACATGTCACCTCCTGGAAATCCTCCTTCTATACTGCTCATTATCATTGCTTACATCTTCTGTGTGATACTGCTGAATGCATTTTTATTTTTCACATGCATTAAGAGATGTTTCATGAACAAAAAAAAAAAATCTTAATTTTTTATCACTGTGCTGTTCAATTAATGAACACAGTCTTTTCAGCTAGTTGAAGCCTAAGTTAGGAGAACTTAGATACAGTACCTAACATTAGGTATTGAGAAGTGGAGGAATCCAATCTTGATAAAGGCAAGCTATTTTGAACAAATTAGCAAATCTTAATGCTTCTGAGAAATACCCATCCTCTACATAAAGTATCATAGGGTCACTTTCCTTTCTCAAACCAGCAACAGTATCACCTCATCTTTCCTGCCTTCCTTGTTATTCGATCTGTTAAACTTTGCAAGAAATAAAAATGTCTTCGGAGGAAATTTAACAGGTTTGTATAAAAAAGCCAAAAAACCTGCTTGAGACCGTTGCACACACTCTAGAAAACCAGTAGGCAGAGCTAATCCTAGCTTTTTAGACAATTCTGCAACTCCTAGATTTTATCTGGTTTTTAATTAAAATACTCTATAGAGAAAGATCCTTATCTGCTGAATTGCAACTTTTAACAAGTCTTATTATTATTATTATTACTTAAGACGAGTAGAGAATACTAGGGAATACAAATTAAAGACTATTACTGCAATGTTATTGATCCTTTTGTAATAAAGTAAGCATGCATTTCTATAATAGAGATCTTTTATAGATTCAAGCAGTCTTCTTTATTTTTCAAAATATATTTACTTCTAAATGCCCAGGACTCATCATAGCTGTTTGCTATTCTGCATTAAATTTGGCTAACTGAAATCTGACTTCACCTTTAAATAAAATGTGAATCCCTTTTTGTACTAGTATTATTTTCTCTTTAAAAACACAAGAAAACATATACAAAAATAAAGAGTTCAAACACTGAAAGACATTAGTGAGGTCACATTTCAGTGGTAAAGAATGCCATTAATATTTAGTCTACCTTAATGGAAGAAATTCGAGTTAGAAGATACTTTAGGTTATCTTGTCCACCCTCATGTCAAGGGAGGCTTTCTTGCTATGGCACATTATTGATTGTTTTGCCACATTCATTTTGAACTTGCCAGTTAATAGTAAGTTCCCAGTTTTAAAATCTTAAATGTTGGTGAAGTTAATTCTTCCAAAGCATCTGTTTTTGAGGTGGCTTTAGCAGATCCAGCCTATGTCTCTTCCTTCTTAGTATCATCTCATGATTACCTCCCATTTATCACATTCTTTTTTCCTAAGAAATTCAAACAGCTAAAAATAAAGATAACAAAAGTAATTACTAGACCTTTGTGCCTTTGCTACAGAACACGCTCAAGCCTCTGAATTTCCTTGGAAGCTTTCTACAAAACAGTTTAGATGTTTGCAATTTTAACAGCTGACAGAAGTTCTCCATATTTTGTGGTCCACAAGAGTGACTTTCTAAACGAGACTCTTCCTTTATACTACAGTGGATTTCAATTTGCAGGATTACCCCTGGATTATTAGCAGAATATGTATTACATATTATTAATGGGGATCCTTTCCTTGTACCACTGCCTGTAATGCAACTTTGTGTAAGAAACCGATACAGTTTACTCAATGCTAATGTGACAGAAGTCTTGTTTTCTGCTTTAAATTTCCAAAATCATTTGCTTCATACGCAAAAGTAACAGTATGTGTGCTTACAAATAGTACCTCCACAATTCCCTTTAAAATTAGTTTTGTCTTGTATCATTTGAATGATCCACATAGTTTTCCATGCGTTTTTCTTTGGGTGGAGAGAAGTAATAATGTTGCAATTTAGCACTGACATAGGAACATTGATTGGGAAAACCTGCAAGTATCCGTACACAACACAGCATTCACATTTCCTTCAGCTAACTCAGCCTGGGTCGGTTACCATAATCATCAGTAGGAGCAGCAAAAAACCGAACCACACAGTGATGCTCTTCCAGACCGAAAATTTCACATTGAAGTGTGCGAGTTTTTTTCCCTCACTGAATTCAGTGACCACTTTTTCCACTGACACCAAGAGTTTCCATTCATTATGCCATAAGTATTAAAGCCCTAGTACATTGGAAGCTATTCCTGCCAAAAGAGCCAACAGTTTAAAGATACACAAGTTTACTTCTATTGGAATTCACAATTTGTGGTGTTTGGAAGAAATCCTTGAAAAGTGCCAACAAACAGCTGAAAAAAAAATGGCCCTGGCTATAGCTACACTACCACCTTCTGAACACACAGTATCATGAACCAAGGAATTGGAAAGTTATCTAACCAACACCTTTCCAAGTACCAAAACACATTATTTTAACCCAAATTCATTGGGACCGAGGAATGTTTTAGAGATGCAGTAGCTTTCCTATAGGAGGTAGTTTTCCAAAGGCACGCTCACTTCATTCCCCAGGAAGTCAAGATTGCCAACCACTAATGATGAAGGTATTTCACAAGTACAGTGGGCTTGGAACTTGACTTCTAAGAAGGTACATGATTTGAATAATCACCTAGCCAGTCACCTCTCAAGCAAACATTCTCAGAATGAGGGTTTCAGGCACAGCATAGGTACTGTCACCAGCTCCTTCTGAACAGACCTTGAGAAGAAAGCCTCAGCAACTAAAGTTATAAATGTACAAACGCCACACATAACAAGTATTTAAGGATTTCTGTAATGTGGATCTTGAAATGACAAGAAAAAAAAAAAAAAAAAAGCCCCCGAAATTTTGTTCCTGTTCTCATCACCAGCCTCTACAGTTTAAAAAGTCAAACGTAAAAAAGATTTTTGTGGAGTATGGATCACGCACAGCACCACATAACCGCCTATTACAGCTGAACTAATACACTGCCCCTCAGGCTGCGAACCCTGGGACAGACTCAACCACAGCTCTCCGCTGCTAAACGCTTCCCCGGGCTCAGGCTGAGCCCCTTCCTGCCCCTGGCGAACACCACTCGCACGGCCGCTCTAAAGGAAACGCTCCCGGGGACAACAGACCGCTTTTCATGAGATCTTCCTCTCGAAATCGTAAGTCCTTCCGACTTCAGCCTTTACCGACTGACCGAGGGGCTCGGCAGGAAGCCAGGGCAGACGGCAGCGCGGACGCGCACCCCACTCCTCCCCACTGCGAGCGCTGCCTCCCGCGCTCGGCACCGGCCAGCCATCCCCGGCGGAGGCTCCAGCCCGCTCCCAAACTCACGTGGTGCAACAGCCAAAGGTTACACGCACCGCCGGGACGAGGATGACACCGCCGTTAGAGGCGCTTCCCACCGCGGAGCGGCCCCGCGCGGGGACGGGCTCACCCGCGGCGAAACGCCCGCCAGGGCTTCGCTCTCCCGGCCCCCGAAGTAGCGTCGCATCCCTTCCTCGTCCGCGCCGGTCGATGAGCAGCCCGGCTAGGCATCGATAAATCAAACCAGCCCGTCCGCTCCGACGGAAAGCTGCGTACGACTCAGCCGCGGTCAAAAACACCGCCCTGGGGGCACGGCGGGCGGGCGAGGCTGCGCGGGTGCCGGGCTCCCAGCCCCCGCGGGGCGGCGAAGTGCCCGGGATGTCGGTGTCGTGCTGCCGCAGCGGGCTAATCCCGGCTACTTAACCCGGCGGGCGGCGGGGGCTGAGCACCACCTTAATCCACGACGTGAGCGCGCCCGCCCGCCAGGAGCTTGCAGGGCCGCGGCGTGCCGGCCGTGTCCAGCCGCCACGTCGGGGTCCCCGACGGTGTGGCTGTGCGCTCCCGCGGCGGCTCAGCCCCGCATCCGCTGCCCTCAAGGTCACGCCGTGCCCCGGCTGCACGGAGGCGGCCAGGTGCACGCTCCGGTTACCTGCGGAGAACCGGCGAAAGCCCAGGAGCGCGGCGCGCAGCCCCTCCGGCCGCGCCGCCCCCCCGAGCGAGCCCGGCCACGGCTCGCAGCCCCGCGGCGCGAGCGGAGCAACGCTGCACCTGCCGCCGCGCTGTTGCCCGGTCTGTCGGCCAGCCGGGAGGAGAGCCGCCCCGAGCCGCCGCCGCGCTTACCTCCGCGCCGTGGGGCCGACACAGCCGCCGGTCGGGGGCCAGGACGAGGCGCCCGTAAACCTGACGCCGCCCGCTCGTTCGCTCGCCGAGCGCACAAGGTCCCCGCGCTCCCCGCCCTGCCCACGGCCGGCCGGCCCCGCCGCGCCGCCCCCGCCCTGCGGCCGCGCGAGGAGGGCGGGAGAGGGGGCGGGGGGGTGAAGCGGCGACCGAATTGGGGAGGGAAGGAGGGAGGGAGGGGGCACCGGCGCGGGGAGAGCCGGGGGAGGAGAAGGAAGGAGGGAGGGAGGGAGGGGGGCGCGGACCGCCCGCCCCGCCCCCGTCGCCTCACCGGCAGGAATCAGCGATTCGCCCTCCTCGCGGGCGCTCCCACCGTCGCCGCCGCCGCTCCCCGGGGCCCGCCCGCCTCCTTTCCCCCGCACGCACCGGGCAGCGCCGAGCGCGCCGCCGAGCCCCTGCGCCGCAGAGCAACCGCTACAGGAGCCGGGCGCCACCGGGCAGGGCGGGGCGGGGCGGGGCGGAGCGCAGCGATCCGCCCGCCTCCCGCCTCCGCCCGCCCGCCGCAGTCACTCACTTGCCCGCGCCCGCCGCCCCCTCCTCTCCCGGCGCCGCGGCCGCCGGTCCCCGCCGCCTCCCTCGCCGCCTGCGGAGCGCGGGCCACGTGACGGGGCCCCTCTGTCGGCCGAGGAAGGGGGGTCTCGACGTGCGGAGTCTTCAATGGGGGAGGTGGAGGCGGGGCCCCGGTAGGCACGGCGCCCGCGGAGGCGGAGCCCCGCGCCGCTGCCCGCCCGCCGCCGCCGCCGCCACTGGCGGGCGGGAGGCTGACGCGCTTGTTTCCATGACGTCGGCGGGCGGGGCCGCGGCGTTTGATGGAGCCCGGCGGGCTTCGGGGGTCGGTGACTTTGCCACGAGCGGCTCCCGCGGGGCGGGGCGGGGGCGGGGCGAGGCGGGCCCTGGTGTCGCGTCCCTCCGCCCGTGGGTCGCGAGCCGCCGCCAGCGGGGACGCGGGCCGCCTCGAAGGGGCGGGGATCCCCCGGCGGCGGGAGAGGCCGCGGTCCCACGAGGGAGGGGCGGCCACCGTCCGGACCGGGGCGCGTCTGTTGCCCTGGTGGGCGGGGGCCGTGCCCGGTGCCGGAGCCGTCCCGGGGGCGGGGGCGGTGCCGTCGCGGGAGGCGCCCTAAGGGACCGCCGGGTGCCCGGGGCGCGGTCCTCCCCTGCCCCAGGGGGCGCGGGGGCGCCTTGCCGTGCCGTGCCGTGCCGTGCCGTGCCGTGCCCGCCGGGGCAGGGGCGGTGTCGCCCCACGGCCTCCCCCTCCCGAGAGCAGCCGGTGGGAGCCGCGTTGGCGGCTCCTGAGCAGCGGGCGCGGGGAGCACGGCGGAGCCTGGGCGAGGCTCCGTTCTGTCTGCCGGGCTGCGCTGCAGCAGGAGGTCCCTGTTGCGTGGGGCCGCTGGCGGGTCCGGAGGGGCAGGAACCAGCGTGTCGCTCGCTGCCGGCCGTGGGGATTAGGGAGCTCCGGATCCAGCCTCCCGTCAGGCGTGTCTGCCTCTCGGGGAACCCTGGCAGCTCCCCCAGGAGAACGGGGAACGTGTAGGGGCCGCAGGTGTTCAGCGCTTTCCAGTCTCCAGCCGAAGGCTCTTTGATGGGAGAAAGGAAAACAAATGGGGTTATCAAGGTTTGAGCCCGAGTGAGCTGTCCGGAGAGACGCTGGAGAATTACACTGGAAATGAAAACCCTGATTTCAGTTCTCTTCCAATGCAGTAGACCTCCCACTGCCCCCTCCCCCCAACGAAAAATACCCATCCATAAACTATGTCATTCTATAGCCCATTTGTGTGGGGGTCTGAGATGTGTTTTGACATCCTCCACTCTCATCTGTTGGACATCTCGGTCGAGTGACTGGCCAGCTGCATCCCAGGCTGTCAGGTTCTTTGAGCCTGCCATAAATACCCTGCTTCACCTTCATTATCGTTCAAATCCTAGTGCTGCAAAGGAAATGAATGGAGAAGCTTATGCAGCTCTACAGTCGCAGACCCGAGATGATGCAGAGCCTAGAGGGTTAAAGCAACAGGATGAAGTCAGCACAAAGCAGCCCACAAGGACTGGCAAATAAATAAATCATCCTAACTACGCTATTATTATGGCTTGCCTGAGGTTCATTGTCTCTTTCTTTTTTACCTGAATGTCTGTTACATTTTTCTCCTTGCACAAAAGAAGCAATCAAAAGGGATTGTGAGCAGTAAATGGCTCCTGCCCATTTTGAATGTTGCTAAAAATACTACCTTACCTCTCCATATCTAGAGGTCAATTGAAAAATCAAAATAATGAGGTAAGCAATCCTTCAGACTGTTCTGTTGAGGAGATTTCTTGCATTTCATCCCAGAAGGAGAATATAAAACTATCTGAACATACATAAAACAAATTCTCTTGCATTCTGTTTGCAGTTCAGCACCCTCCTCTGCACTTATGGCTGTAGCTCAGTGAGGCTTCCTTCCCCAGGCACTTGGAAATTACATTTCTCAATACAGCTTTATAAGACTGGCAGATGTGTTCTGCACAGTTCTGTCATATCTCCTGGCTCTCAGGCAGATAAAATTAGCTTTGGTACAGCTAAGAAGGAGATGATGTGTTTAAAGCACTGCAGTTTGGGTGCATGTCTGTACCTGCTTCCATCTGTCTTGAGGGAAGGTAGGTAGGTTGTGCTTCAGTACTTTTTCTATGAAATGGGAATAATGTCCTATTTTATTCACAGGAAGGAAGCAAAGGTGGGAGGGGTACATATAATCATTATATTTTATGGCAGAATTCTCAAGTGGATACATTTTTCAAGGCACACAATAGTCACTTAATGTTCCTTTTCATTGATACACAGGGATAGCATAAAAACATGCAACACATTGACTGAAAATAAGGAGAAATTTCTCATATCTCCACATAATCTTTTCCCTGAGGATTTAAAAATTTTCCAAATTAATCCTCAGTATCCAACATGCTCCATGATTTTTTAAATTTTATTTTCTTTTTGTGAAAAAGAGGTTCTCCTGCTGTTTCTGAAGATTAGGACATATAATTGACTAACAGAAAACATTCCCCATAATATAGGTCACCAACAGTATAAAGCAAGCAAAACCAAGAAGCAGAAAGGAATATTTCTGGAGACCTTTCATTTAACTTTTGGAGAAACAGTATCATTTCAGGAAAATTCAGAAGTGGTTTGCAGGCCATTTGGAAAGACCAGATTTGATGAATCAGTGCCAGTACTTCAGCCCATTCCATGACCAACATGCTAACAACACAAGCATCAAACATTTTAATAGACACAGAAAATGTGTCACAGCAAATATAAGTAGATTGCCTGTATCTAATCTACTTAGTATGAGACTTTTAACATAAGAGTAAGAATGTATTTGGATCATTACAATATTCGGTCAGAAATTATTAAGGTGACAAGATCTAAATTCTCACATCACCATCCTGTATTAACTAGGGGACTTTTGGCAAAATCTCATTATGGGCTTCATCTGAGAAGAGAAAAAACAATATTTTCGTAGTTTGTCTATATATCTTAACTGTATTGAAACTGTTTTCTTGACTGTTTTTCTACCACTGTTCAAACTCAGTCATTTTATTCGATTGGATGGAAGTGGAGAGCGCAGACGAAGCATGAGAAATTAGGGGAATATTTGTGTGAGCAAGGACATATGAGTGTCTTAAGCTTCCAGGGGTTTTGCAGAACCAAAAGTTTCTGTACCAGGCACACGTTTCCCAGTTGATATTCTTTGTTCAGTGCTACTGTTTGACCAGTCTCTGCAGTCCACCATGGAGAAGATCCCTGTTTTCCATGCTCCTGGCTGATGGGCTGAGCTTGTTCCTGACAGGCCCTGGAGGTTATATCTTGTGATTGTTCCAGTATCCTCCACCCTAAAAGATCAATCTGTTGCCTAAAACCCTAAACAGCCACCTAGATAGGCAAACAATAGACCACTCACTCATCTTTAGGTGGCACAATGACCAAATTGCTCTGTCATTCACCCATGCAGCCTAACAATGACCTTGTGTAACAAAGCAGTATTTCCATTTCATCTTGAAATCCACCACCCCACCCTTAGGAAAGAGGCCTATCTGTAAACATTTGCATTTTTATCAGCTCAAAATTCTTCCTCTTGGCTGTTCGGGAACTCAGGATTTGTGCATAATGTGCTTCCCTTCGACAATGCATATGATAATTTCAAATAGTTGATTTTATTTTCTCTATTCCATTTCCCTCTCAACGATTTTGGATCATCTGGTTTTTGGGTTTTTTTGCGTTTTTTTTTTCATTCAGTTTTATGTTTTATTGTGATACTGCAGGATCAGGAGGGTGAAAGATTAAAAGAATAAACAAAGAAATGTGAAGAGTAACAGTTATTACACAAATCCGTTTTCATGTATACTGTATATTAACAATATACAATATTGTTATTTTATATGTTATATGTGTATCACAAAAAAATATACTGGACTTAATGTGTTAACTGTTTCTTCTTTACCTGTTCTTTTCAAGTGCCTCTGCAGCTCAGCAACATTACAGTCCCAAAGCAGGTGAAAGAGTGGAAAGGTATTTCCTGAGCAAGGGCAGGATGCCTGCATGTAAATTAAAGAAAAAAAAAAGCAAAAAACCAAAAATCAAACCAACAAAAAAAACCAAAAAAAAACCAAAAAACCCCCACAAACAAACAAACAAACAAAAAAAAACAAACCCAAACAAAACAAAACAAAACAAAACAAAAAAAAACAACAACACCAAAACCAACCAAAAACCAACAAAAATCCCAAAACCACCAAACCAACAGAACAAAACAACCAAGCATAAATCCTGGAACTGATGGAGAATTCGATCAGTTAAAGGAATTCTAGCAGGCATGAGAGAGAAGGGGTAAATAGAGCTGGGTGGGATAGCAATAACTGACACATCTATAAAGAGCAGAAAAAGAAAAAAAAACCCCAAATATTTGTGAAGACTTTCATGATAAGACATAAATCATTAGATCCAAGTATGGACGGTGGTGACATAGTATGACCATGGCTGCCTCCAAGAGAAAGTGAGAAATGATTGGTGAATGGATGTATGCTAGCATTCATTAAATAACTGAGTCTCCCTAAAAATGCATCCAGTGAGCATCTAGCTACCTCCACAGAAGTGTCTTTTCCTATGTAGTACTTCTCCAGTTTGGAGTTGATACTTTCTTCCCCATGGCAAATTCATTCTTTAATTCCTAAAGGATGGCCAAAGTTTCAGGCAAGGCTGTCCTTGCAGAAACTGGAAGCAGTTTTGTCCAGTTGACAAAAAGGGTTTGTTAAAAATAAGCTACTGTTTTCATTTCCCAGGAATTGCTTTTAGGCATCAACTCACAGTACCTGTCCTTGGTATGGACACACATAGCTCTTGCAGCTCACCTACCACCCCAAGACTCAAAATGATAGGAGTGCCCATTATACTACCAAACCACAAAAGTCCTTTTGGGGGTTTGTGGTATGTACACTTCTGGACTGAAATAAAACCATTAGTTCATTAGGTTGATGTGGGTGTTTGTAGATATGATGCTTTTTGAGCCTTTTAACTGGTCTGATGAAGCTGTGGCCTTATCTTTGAGAGCCTCTTTTCAGCTGATGATAGCTTGTGAGGCTTCATTGATTTCACTCCTTTTTGTGACCTATTCCAGTTCATGCTGACTGACTGAATATCTTGCTTGTAAATTGTAATGTTGTGTTCCTCTCCTCTGTGATCAAGTGACAAAGAACTTATTTTTCTCTTCCTCTCCCCAAGATAAGAAGCAAAAGGAGTAACCAAACTATCTCTCTCTGATCAACATCACTGACCAGTCTGAGTCACACTCCTGACTCACAAAAATTTGTCTTACAAAGAATAAATGTAGACCCTCCCTGATCTCATCAGTGCTGGGTAATTTTCTTAAGGAAAAAAAAAAAAAACAACTCTCTTGGCAATGCTAGTTCTAAGTCCTTTGGGTAAGAAAATAGTTCAGTTAAGTTTTAGGTTCCTTCAGCAAACATTAGAATTTCTGCCCCTTGGCAATTTTTCAAGATGGTTCGAAGCATTTTAGAGTCATTAGAGGAAACAGTTCCCATTCGGCGTTTCTTTCAGTAGAGATGCACTACCTTATTTGTACTACTTTAGTCAAGAATTAATCATTCAAATAATAAGTGACTACCAGAACACAGAGAAATAAATTATTTGTTTACTTTGTTGATCACATACAGCTCTAAATCATCTTGCCTGCTTTCAAGATACTAAGGAAATTATCCCACCTACCTAAAATTGCTTTTGAAGAATATTACTAATGGACTACTTCACATGCATTTTTTAATAGTTTAAACCTCTGGGCTCAGCCTTGCAAGACTTATTCAAGAATAATCTTTTGCAGATTATAAATACAGATCTGAAGATTATCAAGGTCAAAATTTGGATATCTATGAAAAGATGTGGCTATAAAATATCTAGTATGAAAGCTTCAAAACAAATCACTCTCCACAGTAGTATAAATTATAGCAAAAGTATTTCAAAAATGTTTATATTTGTGCATATATGAAATCAAG